TTTTGATTTTATAGTTTCATATTTGATTATTTTTACTACTAAATTTGTAAAATTACCAATATTATGGTCTCAGATCTCGCCATGCAGGCCTAGAAAACAAATTTTGTTAAACGTTTTCCTTGGCCTTTCCGGGCGTTGCCACCACGCCCTGGCCAAAGGAAGCAGCAGCCCCAGATATTTATCCACCCCCCATATGAAAATATGAAAATCCGTCTCTGTTTATATTAATTGGGGGACTTATATTTGGGGGGGAGGCTTATATTTGGAATGAGGTGAGTGTTAGTACATGTAGTGGGCTTATACACGGGGGGGGGGCTTATATTCGGGGGGGCTTATAGTTGGAGGTTTACGGTATGTAATTAACTTCCAAAGCTATTTACATAATTAACCTGCCATGATAAGGATCCTTCTCTGCTAATGAAGTATTTCTTAAATGTTTCTCGAACTTCATTAGCTTCAAAGGAAGATCTGTTATTTGCTCTTCCAACAGTAAATGCTTCCATAGCACCAATGTCACCCATAGTAATGTTTCTCCAGTTACCAGGTATGAAATTACCTGTACTATCTTCAGCATCGACAAAACCAGCTGGGATGTAATGGGCATTGTATGTCAGCTGTAAATAATTATGTAGGCATAAGCATGCTTTTATAATCAAGTCAACTGTTTCTGGCTTGGCTTTGATTGGACGGCGAAAAATCCTCCACCTTGCTGCAAGGATACCAAAACTGTTTTCTATTGTTCGCCTGCAGCGACTAAGTCTGTAATTAAAAATTTCATTGTCTTGTGGTAATCTCTTGCCACCATAAGGTTTCAATAACCATGGCTTAAGGGCAAAAATTTCATCTGATACAACTACATAGGGAAGTGTATGACCGTCTATGGAACTGCAGGATGGAACATTTAATTCATTATTAGACAAAGCTTTGCCCATTGCTGAATTATTAAAAATTTGTGCATCATTATCTCTTCCATTATTTCCAATATCCACTAATGTAAAACAGTATCTGGCATCACACATGGCCATCAACACAATGCTGTAAAACTTTTTGTAGTTAAAAAAATTAGACCCACTGTTTGCTGGGCATTCAATTGCCACATGTTTCCCATCCAATGCACCAATGCAGTTTGGAAAATCCCACTGACTGAACATTTCATTTGCTATCTGTTTCCACTTATTCTCAGAGTTTGGAGCCTTTAGATAACTTGCACTTAAAGCATTCCACAGTCCACTGCATGTTTCTTTTATAATATTGCAAACTGTGCTTTTACCCAATCTGAAATTAAAAGCTTGGGATTGCTGAGAGTCACCTGTTGCCAAATAACGTAGGGTTACAACAAGCCTTTCTCCTGGAGAGAGGGGTATTCTACTGTTGCATTTCTTCTTCACAATGTAGGGGGCAACTTGATTTAATAGATGCTCTAACCTTTCTAGACTCATTCTCAAAAATTTGAAAAAATACTCCCTATCGTGCAATCTTAACTCGTCAACCAAAATATGAAACTGGCTTTGCTGCTGGCGTTTTTTCAACATTTCTCTCACCCAAAACCTTCTCTTCCGTGGTTTGTTTAGAATTAGTAAAATTTGTTTTTTCCTTAACAAGGCAATAATCAATTGAAGTTGGATAGAAATCATCAACCTAACGTTGAACGCGGCCATTTTTTGCTTTGGCGGGAAATTCCGAAGCACATCGGCTATCATCTGCGAAGATTGCCGATGTATGAGAACTTTCGACGTCTTTCGTGCATTCGCGCTCGCCGACCATCGGCGATAAGCGTCGCCGATCGTCGCCGACGGTTTACGATGAATGAGAACTAGGCTTTAACAGCTTCGGGTGAAGCACCGATACAACTCAATTTGTGTAATAAAATCGAATGACTGACACTGTCAAATGCCTTGGATAAATCCAATAAAATTAGTGCTGTCAGATTTTTGTTGTCTATGGCTTCCAACATCGTATCGGTAACAAATATGTTTAAGGTTTCGGTGGAGTGAAGACTCCTATTCCCGCTTTGATGTGACGATATGCGATTAAATTCTTTGAGGAAGGAGCTAAATTGATTTAGAACAACTTTTTCACAAACTTTTGAAACTACCTCGAGTAGTGAGAGAGGCCGATTGTTTGAGGCTATCTCGTAGTCTCCTTCTTTTAGTAGGGGTATAACTTCAGAAATCTTCCATAGGTCAGGCAGGGCGCTGTAAAACACGGGCGGTGAAACGGCTATGGCGCCCCTGATCTATGTGTGATGCAGGTCCCCCCGCATATTTTCATTTTTATTCGAATTCGATGTGGTTTGATCAGGCATGCATGTTTGTTTTGACTTCTTTTTAAAATTACTACGTAAAAAGGTACAATTCAAGCTGAATTCACAATGGATTTGGGATCTGTGCTATTACTATAGACAAAATCTTTTTTCCGGATTCTTAATCACGGCTGATTATATGGGGAATGTTGTAGTGTAAGATATAAGTCTGGGATCTCACTCACGAGGATCGATTGTTTTTGCAAAACAATTTCGTTCGTTAATAAGATGAAAAAAAAGACGAAGAAAAAGTTTCTTAAACGGCTGTTGTTGTAAAACCTGCAACTGGAATGTGTGTTTGGAAATCAGGTATGTTCAATCACATGTATTTTTGTCAAGTTCCACCAGATGAAGCGCCATAAATTGATAAAAACAGCAAGTTCTATTTTCAAGCGATAGTTTGTTGTCGCAGTTTTACAAATTTTTAACTTTTAAATATTTCATGCACAACATATGAAAACTAGTTTTATTTTGATGTTTTTCTATAACTTAAGTACCTAGTTTTCTGAAAATCACCAAATGAGAATGGGCTTTTTAAATTTTTAAACATTTTTTTAGCCTTGTTTTTGACATGTGCATGCCAAATCTACACATGAAATACAAGCAAGCGATAGTTTGTTGTCGCAGTTTTACAAGCGCGGAAAATTTTTAACTTTTAAATATTTCATGCACAATATATGAAACCTATTTTTATTTTGATGTTTTTGAAATCTGACACCCTATGAAAAAAGCTGGAAAAAGTATGTTTAAACAAAAAAGCCCATTCTCATTTGATGATTTTCAGAAAATTAGGTACTTAAATTATCCAAAAACATCAAAATAAAAATAGGTTTCATACATTATGCATGAAATATTTAAAAGTTAAAAATTTTCCGCGCTTGTAAAACTGCGACAACAAACTATCGCTTGCTTGCATTCGTTATGGCATTGTGTAGATTTGGCATGCACATGTCAAAAAAAAGGGCAAAAAATGTTTAAAAATTAAAAAAGCCCATTATCATTTGATGATTTTTAGAAAATTACGTACTTAAATTATCCAAAAACATCAAAATAAAGCTAGTTTTCATATATTGTGCATGAAATATTTAAAAGTTAAAAAGTTTCCGCGCTTGTAAAACTGCGACATCGCTGTGAACATGCAATTTGGAGTCTTTTGGCAGACATTTTAGTTGCATATTGTAAGTTCGAAAAGAGAAATAAAACAACCTTTAACATGGTAAAAACGGAATTTTCTGCTTGTTGCTTATAATTGAATATTTTCCCTAACTTTTATATTGCATTTGAATGCCTGAATATGTTAATGAAAATGTTTCCAATGCTTTCTAAATTGACAATTGTTTTCTAACTTTATCAAAACAAGGTCACAAGTTGTGTCATTGTAAATTACGCAAGTGACCTGGTCATAAATCTTTAAATTGAAAAAAAAGCCCACAAAAGCCCATTTTCTAACCTTTTCAGATCGAAAGTATAACTAATTATAGATAATTTAAAGGGTTGAAGTTAACTTTTTTTCCACTCGGTCTGGCTAAAAAACTCGACTACAATTTGTCATTGCCTGAAAAATGTAAATATATTTTATGATAAAATCGCTATGCCTTCAAATAATTTCACATTTTAAAAATGCTTTTCCAACTCCAGCGATGTAATTTGCAATACTAATTAATTGTCAGAGTCTCTATTTTATAACAAGTTAATTTTTTTCCATTTTAAGGATAAATTTACCTTAAAAATTTGCACTTTTCAATTGCCCTTTAAATATTTTTGTCTCTTGTTTTTGCTTCGCTTCATCTTTAAAAATCCCGCTTCATCCGCGCATTTGGTCTTTCAGATCATAATGTTGTGATTGTCAATCCTTGCAAAAGAGAACCCAAGTCATGCAGTAGAAGAATTATCTCTAGTAGAGATTTACGATCTAGTAAAAGGCATGAGCTTGGAAGATACCTTACATCTATCGATTGGTCCTCTCTGAATCATTTTGACACATGCGAAATGAAACTCCAGTATTTCGAAGAGTTAGTACGTCTCGGTATTAGCACCATTATGCCAATAAAGAAAACGGCTTTGCATGTACACGATCCTCCATGGATTACTGCAGAATTTAAAGAGCTTATAAGGAAGCGTCAAGCTGCCTTCTGCAGTGGAAATACCTTTCAGTTCAAGTATTACCGGAATCGGGTTAACCGCGAGCGAAAGACATGCCGGGCGAAATTCTACTCTTCAAAAGTAAAGAATCTTAAATCGACCAAACCGAAGAGATGGTGGAAGGAGGTGAAGCAGATTGCTGGTATGGTACCTACAACCGGCTCCGATGACCTATGTAGTCAACTTCATTTAGACGATATCGAGAATATGCAACGTCCTGACATTGCGAATTTAATTAATAACGCCTTTTTGGAGCCCATGAACTCCTTCAATCCACTGTCAACCCTTCCCCCCTTTGATAATTATTCCTCTTTTCAAGTGAACGAATTGGAAGTCTTTCATTTACTGAAAGCAATTAATCGTGGAAAGGCGTCAGGTCCTGACGAAATTCCCAATTGGGCTCTTAAGGAGTATGCTGAAATCCTTGCACAGCCAGTATGCGCTGTGCTAAACAGCAGCTATGCCGAACAACAACTACCTAAATCTTGGAAGCTTGCCAACATTGTGCCCCTCATAAAAAATAAGCCCGTTAGCGACATTTGTAAGCAGTTACGACCAATTTCACTTACTGCCGCTATTTCGAAAATCGCCGAGGACTGTGTTGTTAAAAAATACATTGCTCCAGCTATCATGAGTATAATCGATCCAAGTCAATATGGAGTAATACCAAGAAGTTCAACTACTCTCGCTGTTATATCTATGATCCATGAATGGTCGCAAGTTACTGATGGCACTGGCTCTGCTGTCAGAGTCATCCTGTTCGATTATAGAAAAGCATTCGACCTTATCGATCATGCTTTACTGGCTGATAAAATTTCCAATTTAGCTATTCCACGTGCGGTTGCTCGCTGGACAATCGATTTTTTGATGAATCGAAAGCAGAGAGTGAAATTATCCAATGACTGTTATTCGGAGTGGGGAGATGTACTTTCCGGTATCCCTCAAGGTACAAAATTAGGGCCCTGGCTATTTTGTTTAATGATAAACGATCTTGATATTTGTGATATATCGAGGTGGAAGTTTGTTGATGACACAACAGTTGCTGAAGTAGTTAGTAAGGACACAGAGAGCCGTGTTCAAGTCGCAGTTGATGTTGTGGAAGATTGGTCGAAGGCAAATGGGCTATCTCTTAACACTGAGAAATGTAAAGAACTGAGAATCGATTTTAAAAGAATTAAACAACATTTTGATCCTGTACTGGTGGGTGGAGAAGCATTGCCTATAGTTGAGAGTGCAAAAATATTGGGTCTTGTTATGACAGGCACACTTCAGTGGAAAGATAACATCAGAGAAAGTATAAAGAAAGCTAATAAACGCCTCTATTTTATAGTACTATTGAAACGGGCAAGCGTAAATGTCAATGATGTCTTGAACTTTTATTGTACAGTGATCAGGCCTGTGCTCGAGTATTGTGCGCAAGCCTTCCATCATTCCATCCCAAAGTATTTGGCAGACGAACTTGAGACTGTCCAGAAACGTGTGCTAAAAATTTTATCTCCTGAAATGACATATTGTGAGGCCCTTGAGTATTTTAGACTGCCTACTCTATTTCAAAGAAGAGAGGACATGTGTGACAAACTCTTTACGAGTATCATCAAGGATCCAATGCATAAACTTCATCATCTGCTGCCCCCGAAGAACGAGACTGATTATTCTTTCAGGACGAATCGGTATTTTAATATGTACGTTACACGCACGAACCGCTTTTATAACTCTTTTATCCCTGCTATGTGTAGGAAGTTTGTAGGATAGATTTTATGCTTATTTTAATCGAATTTTGATCTTGGGTGGGTTTTTATAATATTGTATTAATAATATATTTATATGTAGTGCATGTGATAATATGTAATCCACGCAATTCAGCTTCTGGCTGCAATGTGGTTTCAATTTAATAATAATAATAATAATAATAATAATTTCGCACGCTCGGGCCAGTCTCCCGTGCATCACACATGGATCAGGCAAATATTAGCGCGTTTTACCGCCCGTGTTTTACTACGCCTTGGGTCAGGGAATGTGCTTGTCATTAGAGAGCAATTTATCATAATTTATCATCATTAGATGGTTAAGTCGTGCCAATATGATCACTTCTGACAACAGAAGCTTTTCATTCCGATCCAAATTTCGAAATTTCAACCTGGTAACCCGCATTTTGTGCAATTGACGGAAGAAGCTTGAATTGGGCTTGGAGACAAAATTCATCAAAATCACCTTTCAACATTGCCACTGTACGTTTTCTCCAGTTTCTCATCATTGTCGATTCCGTTGAAGTACCTCAAGAGAACTTCTTGGAAGTTTACGCAGATATTGAAGCCTTTCTGGCCAAATCGAGCCTGTATTCTATTAATCATATTCTCGTAAGCTCATAGAAGATTTTTCTGTAGTATTTCTCATGGGTTTCAAGGAAATGGCCGGTTGATCCCCCTTCAAATCGTTGTGGCGCTCTCCGTTTTCTCGCCAGCAAAGGGTCTGTAACTTTGGAAAATTTTGTGTTCTTCTCATTAGTACTTGCCAAAACATTGCAAATCCCTCGTCATTTCGATCCTTGTGCAACGTTTCCAAGACTTTCGCAGCAACTGCTTGGCCCTCTGCAGCGGACAATCGTGGATTTTGGAGTATCTTACTCAGATTGTCAGTTTCAGTGAAACACATTCCTAAATTCCTAACTTATATAAACCAACACAATCCCAACTTATATAAACCAGTACAAACTACATTTTGGAGCCATATATATATAAGCTATAAAACGACCCAGCCTAATCGTATTGATCAACTGTCAAGTCATGATAGATCATCTAATAGATTACGCATAATTGATTGGTCGACCACCACAACCACCAAATAGCATGATTCAGCCAATAGCGTACGACCTATCGAAGAGTGCGTTCTAACAGATGGCGAAGGCCATCCATGGGCGAAGGCGTATTTAAATAACTATGTATTGGACAAGTTGCAGGAAATATGGGTGATTTCTGCATTCTTTGCAGTTTGTCATGGATAATGTAGCCGCTTAAAATTAATCAATTGTCAGTATTTTACAGGTATATTATTTAAATGACAAAAGCTGCATGATTTTGAAAAAAGAATGATCATTAGCAAATTATTAGGGGATACAGCCCCCTCCTTCCTCCCGGTTGCTACGGCCCTGATTATATGGGATATAAAATCATCAAAATATACACCCGTCATTACTTAATATATTGTATTTACTATTCCAAATATATTGTATTTTTTATTAGGCCAAAGTGCATGATTACAAGTAAAATATAAAGATACTATAATTTTATAATCTATATGATGTTTTAATACAGTAAATGAAGACGCTATTCTGAAGATTAGTCCAATATTCAATGACATTTTTGGCATCTTTGTAGATATGTTACATGTTTTTCATTGAAGCAGACATATAAAATTACGTCCTTGATTTCCTGGTTATAAGGGGGTAGGAAAAGTTTGGTCTTCAATAGAAATATTAATACCAAATATCATCAAATTAGACACTTAAAATTCGAAAACAAGTACACCATTGTAAACATTTGACTTGACTATACAGGTCATATTGTCACAGGCAATATTAATAACTTACTGACCGAGAGTGAGGGCAGTACGGGAAAATATCCAACCGAGGTCTTGGTGTATTGACCGAGCGACAGCGAGGTCAATACAGCAAGACCGAGGTTGGATATTTTCCCGTACTGCCCGAACGGTTGAGGTCAGTAAGTTTTTTATTATATGGCATTGTACGTTTGTAAAAAATGGGTAAAAAAGGTCACGCTAGGGCAAAGTACAAAGTCCGAAACATTTGCAAAAAAGAACAATTGTAAAAAATGTTCTCAAGCTTGGTTAGTAAAACTACTCTACAGCAATTTTTATATAGAATACTAACACAGTTGGATAGTATTTCAAGAAAAATACGAGGTATTTCGTCATTTAATCAAAGACAAAGACAACAAATATGAAAACAATAAAATTAATAAACAGTATGGACAAGTACGGTTTTAGTTCGCTTCATCTCATAAATATACATACATACATACATACTTTATTGTGTTCCCTAAATAGGGATTTTCAACACTGATTTACAAAAAATAAATGTTGTTCTATTTACAAGTTTTAGAATCTAGAATTTAAATTAAGGTAAAAAGGTAAGACATTTGTATAAAGTTTAACAAGGTAAAATTATCTGCTTATATATTTGTTCTAGCATGATTCGCTTCAGTTCGTTTTTGAAAGTTTTTAGGGAGTCTAACTTTTTGTACTTAAAGTCCAAATCATTCCAGAGTGTAACGCCTCTAAAATGAAAAGTCCTTTGACCTGCAGACGTTTTGTACAATGGTATTTGCAGTGAGTCATGGCTACGTGTATCTCGTTGATGAATGTCAGAACGTTTTGTGAATAAATAGTTTAGGTCTCCAAGAAGAATGATCAACTTTCCCATCGTCAGAGCTTGAACATAATTAGGTTTAAAATATTTTTCGAAGCAGTCAAGCGGGCTGTCTGGGGGTCGGTAAGAGACGCAGACCAACAGTGATTTAGATTTTTTGTGCTGTAATTTGATCCATAATTGATGGAAATTCGTCTCGGAGATATAACTGAGGTCTTTAAGTACAAGAGATTTAATATCTTTTCGTATGTAAGCACACACCCCGCCCCCTTTCTTGTGCAGTCGGTCTAAACGATGTAGCTTATAACCTTCGATTTCTATTTCCTTGTTTGTGACGGAGGTGTTTAACCATGTCTCTGATACTATAAGGACGTCAATTTTGTTAAATTTGGTAAACTTACGTAATTCTAAAAAATGGGCGTTGTTTTTCAGAGAGCGGATGTTTAGGTGAACCAGTTTGAGACCTGGAAGGGTACTGAGGCTGTTATCTGACTTTTTTGTTAAATGGGCTGAGGCCGTATCATTAGTGGTTTTCGAAGTGAGTGACCACGAGAGTGCGGAAGCGTTTGGAGAGGCAGGGTTGGACAAAGGAACACGAACAAGATTTCTATTTTGCAAGTTATTGTTAACACTAGAAGAATTATTAATGGTTAGTTGATATGATAGTCTCTGACGTGATGGTCTCTGACGTGAAGTGATTCTAACAGGTATTTTCATCATATTGTCTGCTGCTGACTCGTCAAACAGGCCACGTACTGTGTGGAGATGGGCCAACCACTCTAGAGAGTGGTGGCGGTGGGCTGTTCGATACGAAGGAATGACACGACAACGTTTTAAAAAAGGATACCGGCTACAATGGTGCCTTCGAAACCCTAAGGGGTTTGTAACTTGACCGTGTCTAAGACTTGAGGGTCTCGGGGCTGGAAGATGAGGAAACGAAAAATGCTTTAGATTTGACTCGCTGATTGACCTATCCGATCGGGGATTCACCTGGTCAGGGTTAAGGGCATCAAGGCTTAACACGGTTTTTGCATAGGATCGGTCGCAATTCCTACATATGCCTTGCTTCCCACGTTGCTTGAAATGTTGACACCCATCGGATAAATCGTGCTCACGCTGATCTAATTCATTTTCGTCAAAAGTGGGGTTTGCAGAAACATCTTCGATTATACTTAGATCTTCGCATAAGGGCAAATAGTTTAAAACATTCTTAGCCTGAAAAAGCTCGCGGTTCAGGCTTAATGAGTAATCTTTTTTGAAGGAGTTGATTGTAGTCTTAGATTGTTGTGTGGATAATAGGGCATTGTTCTTTATTTCAATGATAACTGTAGGGAAACTTTTCTCAGCGGGCGGGTTATCTACATTAACTGGGGTTGATAATGCACCATATGGGTGATTTATTTTAGTTGGTCCATCGTGTTGGGAATTTACATTGTCAGGACTGTTAACGGACTTCTTATCTTGTAAAGATGGCTTTGAGGGACTTGAAAAAGTTATGGAAGCCGAGTCTTTAATCATCATTTTCTCCTCTAGGTCAGTAATGCGTGACTTTAAATTCAAATTCTCGTTCCCTAATCGGCACAGCTCTTGTTTATTTGTGCTTATAATATGATTTTGTTCAGACACTTTAGTCAACAATTTTCCTATTTGCGATTCTATTTTTTCTTTAAATGTAAGGAGTTGTGCCTCGGCTATAGTCGGGACATCATCAGCTCGTTGTTGAAATGGTGTAGAAAAGCTGGCTGTCTGAGCAAAATTCGGCGTGGCTGCGACATTCGCAATATAATATGCGCTATCAATGAAGTCCTCAAGTTCTTCGAGTGACGAAGTGTCAGCAATCGATTCAAACCCCATATCTTTGGCTTGAGTGTTGTACGAACAATTGTGAGTTAAAGGGGCCATGTCCCCCAACACACGGCCATTACCAACGATATGCTCGCCTTCGACCGACATTTTTGTAGTTGTTTGGAATAAACTATCCGAGGTCGTATTTGTTTGCTTAATAACGCAATTTGTGTCTAATACGCTCACTAGAAATTCCTTGAAAGATTTGCCTTTCTTTCCATTGAAAGTCAAAGAGTTTTGTTTGCCCGGGTACCAAGTCATAATAAAATCAGAGCTTAAGTTTATAAACTGTTTGGCTTTACCGCCAGGCGACGTCCATTTACCCGTTAATCCGACAACATTTTCGGCGAAAGTCCTTAACGAACAGAGGTCGTTTGTCCATTTGAGACGGATCCCATCATAAACTAGATGACCTTGATTGTTTAACAACTTTATGGAGTTCATATCAATAGTTTCAGGACTAAAATTTCCAAGTTTAGTTGAGGCCATAATTAAACTATCCGCCGCCATGTTGTTATTCATGTAAAATATATCTCTTTTTATCGAAAACCCCCAGAAATTATCAGGGAAAAAATATAAATCTGTGGCTGCTTTAGTTGTATTTTTTATTTAGGATGGTGTCAAATTCCTCGGCTATCTGCAAATAAGATTTGCAGCTCTTCACAAAGTCAAAACACAGCTATTCCTGACTTCTTTAATAGTTATAAACATTGTAAAATTTACCTTGTAATTTCGACTTTCGCTAACAAAAACATATTGAGAAAGTTCTTTATCCAAGGAAGGTGCTCCTTTTCTTTAGTTTAGGTTTATTTTTCTTCGTTTTGAATAGTTTTGAAAGACTTTTAGACACTTTTTGCCGTTTGAAACTCGGCTCTTGTCGCGGGGCAAAAAAATTGCGTATTGCCCGTGGGCAATACGGGAAAATCCTGCCTCGTCAGCAGCCAATCAAATTGCGCGATTCCTCAAAACAAATGCTTGCCGTATAATATTATTATTTATTATATGGCAAGAATTTGTT